AGACTCATAGTTACGAACTTTTTTAAGATTGTTCTAGTCTTATCGAAGCCTCCCTATGTAATATAAACATGAACTAGGATTACTGAACATCTCATTTTAGCTGAAGTAATGTTATCCCAGAATTAGAGAAGGATATGTGTAACGTTAATAACTCGACAATAGTAACTAGTAGCGATCCGTGATGTTCAGCAATCAAAAGACAAGACTCCAGATGTCTTTTTTGTCAAATACTGCATAAGATAAAATTCTTTTAGAATCCATCTTCTTTGTCAAATATTCTTATAAAACAATTCATGTGATTATCTTCTCTTAGCTCAATATTGAGAAAACAAAATCCAATATTTTTTTGATCAAATTATATTGAAGTCTATTGAATTTTGGCAAATTTTCGGTATAAGTATATAGTATTTTTCTTAGAAATTTGATGTAAGGACAAATATTTTTATTTATTATCTTTTTATATAGATCAAACAATTGGTCTTCCAATATCTTAACCAGATGAAAGTCGTTGTCTTCTTCGAAATTCTGTAGAAAAATGCATCACATCATGCTGTACTTATTGAAGGTCAACATGGTGCTAGTTTGATTTTTATTGATAAAAAATAATCATATATTCTATTGGGTGGATAAATCTACTTTAGAAACTTATTGTGGGCACTTCCCAATAGTATAGCTATTGATTGGATTGTTCAAAATCTTTATGTAAATGATCTTATTTATGGTTGTATATGGGTTTTAAAAAATGATGAACATTATGTAACTAAATTAAAACAAATATTGGATCAACATAGGTTGTTACTGTTAATCATATAGTTGGAATACTTTATTTTATTAGTTATGAACATAGTGCTATTGAGAATCCTAATGAACCTATTGCTGTTATTGGATCAAACTTCATAAATTTATCGTGTTTATTGGACAGATGATAAAAGATTCAACAGAACCAATGAATTATGATGGAGCATATAGTACTGTTATGGTACATGTTGCGATATTTGCAGCACATTCATTAGATATATTTGCAAGTCACTTATATTGAATTAATCATGAAAATTGTTCATTATATGCAATGAAAACATTTGGACTTGGCATATCTACACTTATCATTTATTAACAAAATATTCAATCAGGTTTAGACGAACAAAAAATTAGTAAATAAGAAAAAGAAGAAATTTAATTTTGTTTGTTTTTCTTTTGTCTAGCATCAAATTCATGTAAAATAGCTGATTATTCAGATTTATGTGTTTTAAATCGCTTAAATCAATATGAATGTTTGAGTGCGTTTAACACAAAAATTCAGAACGACAGTCGAGCAGGTAGTGAAAATATGTATAGAAAAATTTAAAGAAAAATAAAGTAGCATGAATAGTTTTTTTGTTCTTTAAAGCAATCTTGTTGAACATGAAAGTGCTTTACAATGTCATTGTGTACGTGGTGAATGTGTTTATCATGTTGATGAAGATTCCGGTCATCGATAAAATTGCTGTGAATAGATATGAAAGCCATATTTAAAAAAAAGTTGTTTTAAAGGTTACGAAGATGAATACTGTGATGAACCTACTTGTAAACCGTCAATCCCTTCACATATATTAAAAATTGTTATCACCGCATTAGTTAGTTTACTATTAATTGGTATTTTTACTTTTGGTTTAATTCAATTGAAACATAAAGAAAACTAAGTTGACGAGATAAATTTTCGATCTCCAACGAACAGATCCACTCAAAATGTCTCCATCCGATTTCAATGATTTTTTTTTGCCAATCAACGCGACCTAATGTTCTAATAAAAACCTTAAAAGGATTTAGGTTTTGACTGACAAGGAAAGGTTTCGCGATAATAAAAAGTTTTAGAGCCCGTATTTTTCCCAGTGGTGTGAGACCTATAGATTAGGACAGGCTTCAAAAGAGTCGTGCTGACGTTAAGATTTGACCGATATATTGACTTTCTAATGGATTTTTCTCTGTATATACCCACTTTTTCGACCAAGTCTTCTTGTTGAGTTTCGGTCTAAAACTTCTGCCTAGATGAAGATCTTAGTGACGTTAGCTTATGCATGGAGTTCTAGAAGTTTGTGATCGAGTGTCTCTAAGACATGCAATTTTCGAAATATGCATGTTTAAAATAGCGTCAATGACGAATTGTTTGAGTTCTAAAGTTTTGTGCATAAGCTAGTCTTTCTGGAGGCTTAATCTGAGCAAAGTTTTCAGGCTGAAGCTCGACAATAGGATGTTATCGAAAAATTAGGTTCATACTGGAAAAAATTCACTAAAAAGTCAAAATATCGGCCAAATTTTAATGTTAGCATGAACCTTTAGAGCCGTTTGTAATCTATAGGTTCCCTGTTATTAGACAAAATATAGGGTTAAAATCTTTTAATGGTCTGGGGACGTTTTCTTGTAAGCTATAGAATTTTGCACATATAGAGAACTCAACTAGACTAGCTTCCACAAACTGCATGTTGTATAATCTATCTATTGAAATGGATCTATATTTTGAAAGGTTCATATCTTGAAGAAAGTTGATTCAAAGCTTCTGATTTTTTTTATGAAAACTAATGTAGTTTAGTTCTCTCTATGTACAAAGCTTCAGATCAAGATTAGAAAAAGACGATTTTTCTGAAAACCTGGGGTCGCCAGGAAATCAACATATTAACAATGCGATAGCGTACAAGGAAACTTCTTCAGGTATCAAATTGCTCTTCGACGGAGGCGATGTTTATTTGAGGAGTATTAAGAAGTAATAAAAAACCTAGAATTACTTAGGTTTCCGAGCCTTGCTCTTGAAATATCAAAGTTTTCCTGAGTTTTTCAACAAAAAGCTATTATTTCCTCAAGTCATGTGAGAGTTTCGAGTTCATTCAAAATTCTCTCATGTATAAAAAGAAAAATTGTGTTTAAATATTTACATCTCTAAAAAGGAAATAAGAGAAAAGGTAAAAGTTGTACAATCAACTAATCTCATTAAAAACTTTGTTTGTGCAAAGTTTGGAGTTGAAAGTCTAACTGAACTTGATGAGGACTGCAACTATTTGTTGAAAAATCCAGTAAATCTTCGATATCGAAAGAATAAAGATCCGGAAAATCAAGCCATTCTCCACTTCTCTGTTACTCACTAGTATTTATCAAAAAATGTCATCTCAATCGAAAAGTGATTTGACAGTTGGAATGATTCTCTCGTAAGTCGAAATGCATATGTATATATACATGTTTTGTTTTGTTCGATTACAATCGATTCCAACTTCACCATTATCATCACGTCTTTTATCTTTCAAATAATTTTCGCTATATTAACCATGTAATGATAAAAAAAGCAAAATAAAAAAATACGAGATTTACAATGAACTAAATTCTATGAAAAAAAAAAAATATGAAAATCAATCTCTATATATATAAAATCCAGTACGTTAAATAAAATCAGGCACTCTAAAATCGAGTTTTAACCAGCATGTAAATGCTTTAAACAAAAAAAAATGACTTTAATCAAAGTAATCATGAATTTTGTTGTCGATAAAATAATTATCGTTTGCATTTACTAAAAAACCGTTGAAGTACAGATATTCAGGGTAGAATAGGACAGTTCTGCACGTCTCTACTTGGAAGATCTTAAATCGAAATGATGCTCATTCAATAGAATCTGCTTTCACAGTTAAAATGAGAGAATACACTTATTGTTGAACAAAGCATAACTTGACAAATGTTGACATTCATTACTACGTTGAAAAAAATTATCAATACAATTATATTAATAGTATTGTAATTGATTCTTCTTTACTCTCGTTGGGTATTCGATATATACAATTCTATTGTAAAAATATAAAATATTTTCGCAAAGTATAGAGCATTATGCAATTTGAAAAAAAATCAACAATGATTTTTATCACATGATGTTTATTGACTGTTGCTTACCACCAAGATGCTCAAAAGATTTTATAATTTTCATATACTAGTTAAATACTGTTGTACTTCTTGACTCATTTCATTGTAAACCAATTCCAATAGTTCTGGTATCTGTGTCGTCCAACACTAAACTGTATCAGATAAATAAGTGATAGAACAGTATTTGTCTGTAAAGGTCGATTAAACCTATCGCTTTCATGCTTTCTGCATTTCTACATATTTTAGTTTTGCATGATTTTTGCTTCTTCTCTTGTTTAACAATGGATGCTTATAGCTTTCATTTTGCATTTTATGAGAACTGAAAGAAGTATCACGTTAACTGTGTTCATTTTCTTTATTCATTAAAAACTGATGTATAATTCGCTGCTACCTTAAAAAGGATTAAGAAGGTACGTGCCATTTACGACAATAAATTAATTGGAATTTGAATCATATCTTTTACTTGAAACAAGCGTCGACCGAAAAAGAAGAAGAAAATAATCGACTTCGAGCATCATCACCACCATCCCGAGTTTTAATCAGTCCAGTTTGGCTGGATCGAACGGGCTGAATCAGTGGCACCGGCAAGTTCCAGAGAAGATGTACAATATTAGCTCATTTTCATCAGGAAAACATTGTGCATCTTTGCTTCATACGTGTTTTTTAAAGAAGAAACAAATTGTAATTTTAAATAAAAATATTATTTACTCTTTAAAGTATCTCCAGAATCGGAACATTGTCATGTGTTAAATGTTTATACGTTTTTATCTTTTCTCTTTGATATCAGTGACAGTGCCAGGAATTTCGTATTAGTCAACTATGGACAATAGCTCAATGAACCATGGTTGGATGTGCCTCTGTTTGATATGTGATTAACTCAAGAAGAGAATAGGATGTCAAACATGATTATAGAGATATAGACACATGTCTAAGAACTAACAAGGATTCAAATAATATAATTATGCTCGGCGTCGGTCGAATTTTTTTAAACTGACCAGTCCGTTGACATCCTTGACTTAACCGGTGAAAAATCAGTGCGTTTAATATATCAATTAATCAATCAATACTAACTATTGGGATTTTATGAGAGTCGGTGAAAAATAGTCGAGAAAAGTAAGCTCGAATTTGCGAAGTAAACATTGTTTAGTTTAGACAGCAATTAAATTCAAATGTCTAGCTAACTTTTCGTGAACATAATAAAATCCTTTAGCATGATTCGAAAAGCTCATCGTATGATGAAAAAATGTTACCTCAATATTTAGAGCTGAGATTTTGACAATGACTAGAAATTTGTCAGATGTTAAACTTTCAGTCTAACATCTCTTGATCATTAAAACAATGAAAATCGTTAAAAACAAGAAAAATAAGTCAGCTTTAGTGCTCCAAAACAATCAATGAAAAAACTGATAAAAACCGATGCAAATCAGCCGATTTTAGCAGTTCAGCTGGACCGAAGCGGTAACCGGAATTTTTATGACGTGTGGCATCATTGCAAGAAAATCTTTGTAATGACATTTACCATAGAAAAAAGAAAAATTATTGGCTAGATTTTATCCATAATGTACTTGTACAGATTTACTTTTTATGTTTGAATGCCTTATTAGAATAATGTATAACTAGTTTTTAAGTTTATTCAAGTTGAACGTCAAAGATAACAAGCATGAAAAAGGTAAAGGAAAAAAAAACCAAACAGAATCGCAAATAGAAAGACGTAGAGATCCGAATAAAAGTTCTCATCATCATGATCATCATCTTTTCCTTTCTTTCAAATCCCCGAGATTTTTCATCAATACGTGAAAAAAGAAAGACCAATAGACAATATCACTTTCTCCATAAAAAGGAAAAAAGAAACGTTGATATTTATGATAAACAAATGAATGAAGAACAAAACAAAAAAGAAAAAGAAAAAAAAAACATGAAGAAATTATTTGGTTCCACTTTTCCCGCCACGTCGAGCGCCACGAGGTGAAATACCTTCATAATATGGTGAATGATTATAAAATGATGAAGGATAACCAGTTGATTGATAACTTGTTGGAGAAGCAGCTGTTGGATATGTTGGACGAAATGTATGAGGAAAAGGACGACGTTTTTTCGCTTCAACATTTATTTTGTGTGTTTTTAGAAGATTGTCATGGTCAGCTACGACAGCTTTAGCCATTTCGATTGATTGACAAACAACAAAAGCAAAATTTGCTGCACCAACTTGAGATCCTGTATTACCAATACGAACAAGTAGAAGACTACCATAGGGTCGAAATAATTCATGAATCTAAATTAAAATACTTCATCAATCCAAAAAAAAGACGAATGCTTTATTTTTTGAACTATTTTACTTCATTTTCTGTTACTTGAGCTGAAAGATTTCCAACAAATATTTCTTGATCATCTGTATAACCAGTCGATAAATAACCTTCTTCGCCAGTTCCATAATACCAAGAATCATCATAATAATCATTAGTATCTTGTGGATGACCACGTGCTGCTGTTCGATTATTATTACCACTAGCTTTTGATGCTTTCTTTTGTTGTTTATTTGATTTATTTGATTTGGTTCCTGTAGTAGTCATTGCTGTAGTTGCTGTTGCTGTTGCTGATGTTG